CTGACTGCGTTGTGACTTAATCTCAAGATCGTAGAATTAGTCTATGAAAGAGGGAGATGATTTGGAAATTCAGCAGTCTGATGCAATTTTTGAAAATGTAACAAATGATGGCCAAGTGGTTAAGGTGTTAGATTTGAAATCTAATGGGGTCACCCATGCTTGCAGCGTATTTCAGTGCAGTGATTTACTGCATCCTGTCGCCCTGTGAAACTGTGAGCAGTTCTTTTGCGGCTGTACAGGACATTGGTGAGGCCACTTTTAGAATACTGTATTCAATTTTAGTCTCCTGCTATAGGAAGGATGTTTTTAAACTTGAAAGGATTCTGTAAAGATTTACAAGAATGTTACTGGGATTGGAGGGTTTGAGCAATAGGGAAAGGTTGAATAGGCTGGGGTTATTTTCCCTGGAGGGAGGCTGAGGGATGACCTTAAAGAGCTTTATAAAATCATAAGGGACATGGAAAGGGTGAGTAGCCAAGGCTCAGGGTGGGGGAGTCCAAAACTGGAGGGTATAGGTTTAAGGTGAGAGGGGAAAGATATAAAATGGACTTGAGGGACAACTTTTTCATGCAGAGGGTGGTGCATGTATGAAAAGAGCTGTCAGGTGTTGGAGGCCGGTACAGTTACAACATTTAACAGGCATCTGGATAGATATATGAATGGGAAGGGTTTAGAGAGACATGACCAAACGCAGGCAAATGGAAATGGATCAGTTTAGGATATCGGGTCGGCATAAGGGGCTGTTTCTATGCTGTAAAACTCTATCACTCCTAAAAGAGACAGAGGCTGGTATGTTTAGCCCATCTTCTTTCATAGAAATGTAACAAACAGATTTGGAATTGGAAAAGTTACACCAAGCAGCCTACTCAGAAACTGAATGAGAATTGATACTTGAAAGTTATTATTTGAAAAACAAAGACTTAATCAAGAAATGGAGATCACTTCAAATACCAGCCAATGAGGAATGGGCATTAGGCCTTCGGTGGTGGTTCCGTCTGAATATCATGATAACATTTGGCTCACAAAATTCCAATGGCTTAGGTATCAGGGAAACACAAAATATTAAAACATTTTTAATGTCCAGGATTACATAAAGATGTAGTCAAATTTTGAAACCCTTAAATAAATCTGCGCCTTTAATTCCAATAACAGCTTTTGAACAACCTTTTAACAGGAATCTGATAGATTATGTAGGGCCCCTACGTAAAACCAGGAATAGAAACCAATATCTTTTTCTACATGAGTTACTGAAACAGTGTCTTTAGGGAAAGGTGCAAAAGTGGTAATGGAAAAATTAGTTAAATTTTTTACAAGATATAGATATGTTCTAATAATATTTGTACACAAAATGAGAGGACCACAAAAATAAAGAGAAATTGATAAGTTCAGAGACTATGCTTCCAACCTACGCTGTGGGGTTCATAGAGAAACTGACCAATATATACTAAAAAGCTTTAGAAGCATGCTCAATAGATAACAGAAACAAAACCCAAAAATGTCAAAGTATGAGATGTTGTTGTGGGATAGATTTTGGTGGCAGTTACCTGGCTTTGGGAACCATTAAAAGCAATGTCCGCTGGATCTTACCAAATCAAAAAGAAACCCAATGCTATGAATTACATAGTGAGTACTCCACATAAGAGAAAGAATCAGACAGTGTTGACTTGTTAAAAAGACATTATGACAGGGATGATAAAATTGTACTTACTGTAGTAAAACAAATAAGGAGTAAAATAGAAATATTAAAACAATTGGATAATGAATAAAAAATTGAAAATTCAAAAGTTGTTCCCCCAACAATTAGGTTGGAAAATATGGAGTTGCTTAAAAGGTTATGCTCAACTTCTAGAAAATGATTGAAGTGACTTACAGAGGCAATTTCAGAATGAGAAATCAATTTGTGGGAATAGACCGAGAAAAACAGTTTTGACTGTTCATGATATTAATGTGAAGGGCATATGTTATTTGTAAAATAAGACTGAAACAGACTGTATTCAGAGAGATTACGTCAAGTGAGGGAAAAGATTAAATTCATGATGGACAAAGGCATTATTGAACCAAGTCATTGTAACTGGAGCTCCCCTATTGTGATGATGCCGAAATAGGATGGGTCAGAAAGGTTTAGTACTAATTATCGCAAAGTCAATGTGATAACAAAGAGGACTCATCCTATTCCATTGAATGAATTTGACTAGTACGATTTGTCACAAAAATTAATTTGCTAAAAGGAGATCTTCAATTCTGTTGACTGATAGAGCCCAGAGATATCAGCTTTTGTAACGCCAGATGAACTTTATCAATCCAAGTCATGCCTATTGGAGTGGAAAATGCACCAGCAACATTTCAATGAATAACTAGTAAAATAATTGGAGGACTACATGACTATGATGATTTGGCTGTTTTAGTCAAACCTGGGGAGGACATTTATACCACTGACTGAACTGTATGATTGGCATTTTGTAGCCAATTTGGTCATAGATTTGGCTAAGAATGAATTCACCAAACCAAAGATGACTTATTTGGGCCACAGCATGGGACAAGGCCAATGTAGCACCAAGACAAGTGATTGTAAAGGCTACTTTAAATTTTCCCATGCCTTGAAAAAAAGTGAAATTTTCCAATATCACAGAATCCCTACAATGCGTAAAGAGGCCCTATGGCTCACCGAGTCTGCACTAACCCTCTGAAGAGCATTCCATCCACACCCAAACCACCACCACCACCGCCCCCCCACCCCTGCTCATCCCCATAACCTCATGTGGCTAACATTCCTAGTATACATATCCCTGGACACTTTGGGCAATTGAGCATGGCCAATCCACCTATTCTACATATCTTTAGACTGTGGGAGGAAACTGGAACACCCAAAGGAAACCCACACAGAACCAGGGGGTACCACAGTGTGGAGCTGGAGGAACACAGCAGGCCAGGCAGCATCAGAGGAGCAGGAAAGCTGACGTTTCGAGTCGGGAATGTCCAAACTCCAGACAGTCAACCAAGGTTGGAATCAAACCTAGTTCCCTGGCGTTGTGAGACAGCAGTTCTAACCACTGAGCCACTGTGCCACCCAGATGTTGCCAAGACATGATTTTATTGAATTAGGAGAAGCTATTGAAAACTGGTTGTCAATACCAGCAACATCGGTTGTGGGCTGTTTTTCTGCAAGATAAGGAGATGGGAATCAAATGGCCTGTCAGTTACTTTTTGAAGAAATTGGCCATATATCAGCAAAAATAATCACAGTTTATAAAGAGACATTGAGTCTTGTATAATTCTGCATAATTTTGAAATATACATCAGTATCAATATGGCAGATGGTGTTATTTATATAGACCACAATACTTTAATTTTATTGTCTGTGTATATGATGGGGTTTAATAATTAACTTGAAAGTATTTCTCTCGCCGTGGTGATTTCTTCTAAAAATAGTTTGAGAAAGAAAAAGTGGGAAAAAAGTGGCCTGCTGTGTTCATCCAGCTCTACACCTCGTTAGCTTTCCTGCTCCTGTGATGCTGCTTGGCCTGCTGTGTTCATCCAGCTCTACACCTTTTTATCTCAGAGAGACTTCCTGGATGGTAATGGGAGTTTTGTTTCGATAGGGTTGTTTTAAGAGCGAACAGAATGTAGTTGAGCATTTCAACAGTTTAAATTGGAAGGATCAGAATTGATTTATCATTGCTTGATAACAGCTCGAGCTTAAATATGCTCTTCAGTTTCAGTTTGCAGAATTCTTGGCTGAAGCTGGATATGTGAAGTTGCTTCTGAGAAAGGAAGCTAGTTTAGAACTATTAAGAAATAGGTTACCTCTCTGTAAGGAGTTTAGTTTTAAAGTTCCAAATCAGAAATGTTTAATTAAAACTCTGAAGGGGTTACATTAAGCTGAGAAAATCTAAGTTCAGTTGTGTGAATACTCAGGCAAAAGGCTAACAGACTCTGAACTGATTCTTTCCACTCCAGTTGTTAAGTCAATTCAGATGTATTGGATTAGAGAATATGTCTGGTATTTAAGTACTGTAAAAGGGTGCTTTTGGGATCAATGAGACAGTGTTTTACCATGTATTGGAAAATTTTTAAACTTGTGTTATATATAAACAGTTTGGTTAACTATTTTATCTTTCCTTTTGTGCCATAAACTTCAGTTTGTTGGAACCAAATCTGCCACATTGCGTGTTCATATTTCAATGAAAAACTACCTTGTTAAAAGCAAGTTTAAAAGCAAAAGATGGTCTATCAAGCAAGACTTTAGTCAGGGATCTGACTTGTCCAATAATAACGTCTGCGCTTAACATTTGTGCTTCACTTCCAAATGAAATCTCAACAAATTAAGAAATATCCTTTGTTAATGTTTTGTAGTTGATTAGAACTAGTTGAAATGTTCACAAGCAAAGACAATATCCAGACTCTCTTTCTCAGTCTGTGCACATTGTTATTCAGTGCATGTTAACACTTTGGATACAAACCCAACGTGTTACCCTCACTGCATGGGGGTTGCTCCAAGTCCTGTGTCACTGACATCACACTGCAGGGTGGCTCCATTGTTGACATCATAATCCCTCAGCACTGGTGATGTCATCACTAGGTGTTTGATGGGAGTGAAAGCTGCTTCTTGTTCTACGTCCCAGTCCCACTGAACACCCTGCACCGTGAGACTGTGTACACCGTTACACACTGTGAGGATGGATTGGGCAAGAACTTGGCCAGGTAGTTCCGATACGGATTCACTGATATTCCAGGAGGTCCAATAAGTGTATGAAGGCTTCATTAAAGAACTTAGTCTGAAAGGGTTAATACCCCGTGCAAGTTCTGTAGTGTTCAAGACAGTCAGAGACATCACAAAAGCTTTATGTAAAGATTACCCTTCAGATGTTACTCCCCTATGTGGATCCTCTAATGGAATAGCATCACCATGACATCGAAACTATTTGTTGCACACATCATGTGTGTTGTGTCTGTGCACAGAGTTCTTTGACTGTGAGAATTAATTATCATTGATCTCACACTTGAACAATTTCTCCCCTGTGTGAATGCGTTGGTGTGCACGGAGACTTGATGCGGCTGAAAATGATTTGTCACACATCTCACACATAAACGGTTTCTGCCTTGTGTGGATCCTCTGATGGAGTAGGAGACTTGACGACCTGGAGAATGCTTTGTCACATACCTCACATATGAATGGTTTCTCCCCTGTGTGAATGCGCTGGTGTCTGCGCAGGGCCGATGAATCTGAAAATGATTTGTCACAGACTTCACATGTGAATGGTTTCTCACCTGTGTGAATGCGTTGGTGCACACGGAGGAGCGATGAGTGAGAGAACGACTTGTCACACACTTCACAGCTGAACGGTTTCTCCCCAGTATGAATACGTCGGTGTATGTGAAGGTTCCCTGACTGGGAGAATGATTTGTCACACACCTCACATGTGAATGGTTTCTCTCCAGTGTGGGTGCGTTGATGTCTGCGGAGGTATGATGAATCAGAGAATGATTTGATGCACACCTCACATGTGAATGGTTTCTCCCCTGTGTGAGTGTGTTGGTGCATGAGGAACTTTGATGACTGTGAGAAGGATTTGTCACATACCTCGCAAATGAATGCCTTTTTCCCTGTGTGAATACGCTGGTGGTTCACAAGGTCTGATAACCGCACAAAGTCCTGGTTACACATCTCACAACTGAATGGCTTTTCTCCAATGTGAATATGTTGTTGGTGCACAATCATTGATGAGTGTGCAAAGTCTTTGTCACTCACCTCGCACTTGAAGGCTGTCTCTTCCATTAAGTTATCGCTGTACAACAGATGCAATGTGTGTGATATTAAATCTTATAATTCTGTGGAGTGCTCCTCATACACCTCTCACTCAAACAGCTTCTCCCTGGAGGAATAAGTCAGTGGTTCGTGAGGTTCGATGAATGATTGAAGCTGTCACCACACTTGGAACCACTCACACTTCTTCCCAGCCTCACCCTGACCGATCACCCACAGTTGAACCTTCAGAAAGGTTGGTTCCGATGGAAGGCTCCACACCACTGACCAGTTTCAGATCTGATGATATGTCAAAGCTCCCCTGACGTGAGTGATTTCCAGATGATGGTTTCACTGCCCAACCTTCTCTGTGCTGAGCAATGCTGTGAAGGAACTGGATGTCTTCCCACAATTGTGCAGTTGTTCCTTGGATATTGGTCAGGATCTATCCACAGTGTCTATCCTCACTGTATTCTCTGGTGTAGTACAGTGCAAATCCTTCTGTAAAACAGGAAAAGGAAACTTGATTTATATCAACAATATTGGCACCATAGAGTCTCATGGCTTCAAGTCAAATAAGTTCAAGGAAAACTACCACACCCCTTCCAAATGACGAATGAGTCATTCACTATGTTCATCATTATGAGGGAGGTAGACTAAGGACAGATCCAAAACCGGGTGTCCATGAGGCAAGGTGAGCCATCAGCAGCTCCAGGATTGTATTCCACCACAATCTCAACAGTCCGATACAGCCCTCACTTTGTGATTATCATCAAACTAGTAGATAAACAGGTCAGGAACAACACTGGCGATACTGCAGAGTTCAGGTTTGAACAAAGCACAGGTCACAATTGAATCTGTTTCCGTTATCCTGTCAAACAATGTGTTCCCAATCAAAGTTATGTAAACACTTTTCTCTTCAATTCATCACTTATTCTTCTGTCAATCATCTTTTATCTGAAACCTCTCTTTACCAATTAGTGTGCCATTTGAAAGTTTCTCTTTATTTGCTCTGTGTAAACACTTGACAGATTAAAACATCTCTAACAAACCACCTCAGTTTCTTCTCGAAGAGAAACAATCCCACCTTCTTCAGTCTATCCCCATCATCGTCAAATCTTTTCTATTCTCTCTCCAACATTGTCCAGACTGAAAAACAGCCCTCCATGAGTAAAATTCAGTCTACAGATCAACAAGTGTTCTGAAGACCAGGCATGCAGCATTCGAGTGGGAAGACCTCGACCTGTACAGAAAATCAGCTATGACCTCTGCAAATCCATCAGAGATGCCAAGAGGCAGTGCTGGACCAAGTTAGAGATCCAAAACAATCAAATGGACACCTGCCGCCTGTGGCAAGGCCAACACAATATAGCGGATTACAAAATGAGCAGAGCAAGATGGCAGACAAAAACACATCCCTCCCTGACGCACTCCATGCTTTCTATGCAATGGTTCAAGCAGAAAGCTAGCGGCCCCCGACAGCCCTGGGCACACCTGTTCCCTCTGTCACTGCTAACGTTGGTCTTCCTGGGAGACAACCCAAGAAAAGCGATGGGATCGGACGGTGTCCCCGGCCAAGCACTCGGACCCTGTGCGGACCAACTGGAAGAGGTATTCACCGACATCTTCAACCTCTCCTTCCTACAAGCCGAAGCCCCTACCTGCTTCGAGAAGACCACCATCATCCCTGTACCGCCCAGTGGCTCTGACCTCAATAATCATGAAGTGCTTTGGGAGGCTGTTCATGACCCACATCAACTCCAGTCTCCCAGTCCGGCTCAATCCGCTACAATTTGCCTACTGACGTAGCAGGTCCACAGAGGATGCCATATCCCTACCCCTACACACATCCCTGGAAAATCTGGATAACAAAGACACCTACATCAGATTCCTGCTCATTGACTGCAGCTCCACCTTCGACACTATTACATCTCCAGGCAGATTTCAAAACTCTGTGACCTTGGTCTCGGCTCTGCCCTCTGCAACTGGATCCTCAACTTTCTGACCCATAGGCTGCAATCAGTGAGGATAGGTAACTGCACCTCCTCCACAATAACACTCAACACTGGAGCCCCCTAAGGATGGGCCCTCAGCCCCCTACTGCACTCCCTGTATACCCACAAGTGTGTTGTCAAATTCCAAACAAATGGCATCTACATGCTTGCTGACAATACCACTGTGTTGGGATGGTTATCAAACAACAAAAAGTCAGAATACAGAAAGCAGATAGAGGGCTTAGAGAACAACCTCTCTCTTAATGTCGGCAAAATTGAAGATCTGATCCTTGACTTCAGAAAGAAAGGAGGAGAACACACCGATGTCAATGGAGCTGAGGTTGAGAGTGTGGACAGCATCAAGTTCCTTGGAGTGACGATAACCTGTCCTGGACTTCCTACATAGGTGTGACAGTCCAAAGGCATAAGAACGCCTCTTCTTCCTCAGGCAGCTCAGAAAACTTTGTCCATAAGCTCTCTCACCAACTTCTACAGATGCACTATTGAAAGTATACTGTATAACAGCCTGGTATGGCAACTGCTCTGCCCAGGACCTTATGAAACTAATGAAAGTGGTGTGCACAACTCAGATTATTAGGGAAGCCAACCTTTTATCCATGGACTCCATTTACACGGCTCGCTGCCAACATCGCCAAAGACCCATCGCAATCCGATAATGATCTCCTACAACCTCTTCTGTCAGGCAGAAGGTACAGAACCTTGAACACATGCACCAGCAGGTTCAAGAACAGCTTCTCCCTGCCATTATTAGACTGATGAATGGACTGTCTAACTTCAAATAATGTTAATCTAGTTAAATGTTGAGTTTGCCTCACGTACATCCTATGCAGCATAAACTGTATGCCTTACCCTGTCCAAGATTTTTTTCACCCTATGATCTGTACGTCCTTGATCATTATGATCTGCCTGTGTTGCTTGCAAACAAAGTTTTTCACAGTACTTAGGTATTGGTGACAATAAATCAAATCAAATCAAATCTTCAGTTCCATATGATAGTTGAATGATCAGGAAACAGGATGGAGCAGTCCATCAGACATTTCTCTCTATGACATCAAACTGTAGTTCCCTCCACCCACAAAGATAATCCAGACCAGTATCTCAATGTGAAAGCTGCAGTATTGTCTTAAAACACAAGACAAAGAGTGAGGCATCGAGATACACACATAAAACTCAATATAATCCTGAATCAGGGACCTGACTACTGTTCTGCTCAGGAACAACAAAACTTTCTATGCCACCCTTACCATCATAAAAGGCCCCAAAATGCTTCAAGATGCATTATCAGACAAATTTGACAGTGAGCTATGTAAGGAGATATTAGAGAGATGATCAAATGCTTGAGCAAATGTTTAAAGAAGTATCTTAAAGAAACGGACAGTGCTGGAGGGATTTAATGAAAGAATTCCAGAGATTACGGCCCAGGAACCTGAAGGAATAGACATCAAATATAAAACAATTAAAATCACAGATTCTTGAGGGACAAGGGGCCTTAAGAGAGTTAAAGGACTCAGTTGATTATCACCTTCCCTCAGGAGGTATCATGTTTAGTTTTCAGTCAGAAGGCTGTGAGTTCAAGTTCCATTTATGACTTGAGCACTGAGGCTAACACTTGAATGCAGAGAACCACAGAAACATGATAGCACAGAAAGAGGGCATTCAGCCTATCATGCCTACCCATGCTGAATAAACTAGCTACTCATTTGAATTGCCCCGACCTGCACCACAGCCTGGCAGGTTTCAGCATTTCGGTACAGATCCAGATTCATTTTAAATGAGTTGAAGGTTTCTGCCTCACCCACCAATATGCACAGCAAATTTCATACACACACCACCCTCTGGGGAAAGATCTTTCCTCATCCCCTCTAATCCTTCTATCAATCCTCTTCAATCCATGTCCCCTAGTAACTGACCACCTCACAAGGGAATATAGGCCTTCCCTCTCTGCTCTATCCAAACCCCTCAGTATTTTGAGATGGTAAGAACTGCCGATGCTGGAGTCAGAGACAACACAGTGTGGAGCTGGATGAACACAGCAGGCCAGGCAGCATCAGAGGGGCAGGAAAGCTGACACTTTGGGTTGGGACCCTTCTTCATTTCTGAAAATGCTGCCTGGCCTGCTGGGTTTCTCCAGCCCCTCAGTATTTTGTATACTCAGTTAAGTCACCCTTCACTCTTAATTCTAAGGATTGGTGTAGCTGATCAGTTCTGGCAATATTACTGTAACAAAATCCTTTGCGCTCTCCTTAGAACAACTATGCCCTTCCTGTAATGTGGTGGTCAGAACTGTACAGAAAACTCCAGCTGTGGCCAACCAGTGCCTTATGTAATTCCAACATTACATTCCTGTTCTTGTATTCAGCACTTAATGAAGGAAACTATCCCATATGCCTTCTTTACCAACTATTCTACCTGTCCTGTATCTTCAGGGATCTGTGGATATGAACTCCAAGATCTCTCGCTTCCTCCATGACTCTCAATATCCTCCATTTATTGTGTATTCCCTTGCTTTATTTGTCCTCCTCAAATGCATAACCCCACACTTCTTCACATTAAATTCCATTTTCCATTTTTTTGCCCACTCAACATCATCCTGCACTCGACACACATTCTTTTCACTATTAACAACATAGCCAATTATTGTCTGCAAATTTCTTAATTATGCCTCCTGCATTTAAGTCTAAATCATTAATATATATCACAAACAGCAAGGGGTTCAATACTGAGCCCCGTGGAACATTACAGGAAGCCACTTTGTATTCGCAATAATATCTGTTAATATTACATTTAGTTTCCAGTCACTGAGTCGATTTTTGATCTGGCCGTTATCTCATTGCTGTTTATGGAACCTGCAGTATGTTACAACAGCAACTACACTTCAAAATATTACACATTTTCAAAGAGCTTTGGGACATCTGGTGGTCATGAAAGACTTATATAAATACGAGACCTTATTTTCTTCTTGACAAAACAAACAGTAATTAAGATAAAGAAGTTTTATGTGCTTATGAAAAATGTTGGATAAAAAATATAACTGAAAACCAGGCTGAAGAGAGAACAATCAATGGGGTGGTGAAAAAGCAAATAGGAGAAGGAATGAGGGAGTATGAAGAGACTGGCAGCTGACAAAAAAGGGAAACCTTAAGTTTTCTTTGGCCTGTGAATAGAAAAAACGGGCAGTAAAAGGAGGACTGGGGCCAATTATGGACAAAAGGGATATTTTCCATGGAGCCACTATTAACCACATGCTTTGTGATACTGCCCACTCAATGAAGAAAGAGGAGGAAATTGTCTTGTTTAGAAGGTTTCAGCATTGACCGGGGTAAGTAATGGATAGGCTGCCTATTCTGCCTGAACGAGATACATCCAAAAATACTAACAGCAGTGAGAATTAAAATTGCAATATTGTTTCAGTCCTCCTGAGACTCAGGAAAGCATAAGAGGACCTGGTGATTTTGCAAATGTTATGCCATTGTCCAAAGAGAGGATGTAAGGATAAGCCCAACCGATATAGGCCAGTCAGTTTAACTTCAGTGTTCGGAAATCTCACAGAAACAATCGCTCAAAATAGAATAAATAGACAAATGAGTAAATGCAGTTGACTAAGGAGACCCAGCACTGACCCATTAAGAGAAAATCATGTTTAAATAACTTACTGGTGTTTTTTGATGAGGTAACAGAGAGAGTTGATGAGGACAATGCTGTAGATGTGGTCCACACTGACTTCCAAAAGATGTTTGATTCAATCCTATACAAAAAAATTGTGAGCAAAGTTAGAGCTCATGGAATAACATAGACAGTAGCAATGTGGATACAACATTGGCTGAGTGATAGAAAACTGACAGTAATTGCTAATGGATGCATTTCTGGGTTGGGAGTAAGGTTTATACTGAGGTTTCCAAGGATCAGAATTAGGCCCAGTCCTTTATATTAATTACCCAGGCCTTTGAGTACAAGGGAGAACTTCAAAATGTGCAAATGATATGAAACTTGGAAGCATTGCAAACTGTGAGGAAGACAATGCAGAACTTCAAAAGCACATTGACAAGTTGGTGGAGTGAGCTGACGGATGACAGGGGAACAAGTGTGAGGTGATGCATTTTGATATGAAGAACATGGAAAGACAGCATAAAATGAAGGATGCTACTCTAAAGGGGTTGCAGGAGCAGAATTGGAATTAGAGTGGACAAAAGGTGACAAGAAGACAGTAGCAAATAAAGCTCACAGTATCCTTAACTTTATTAACAGGATATAGCATAGAAGGGGTTATGATGAAATTACACTAGACACTACTTCTAGATGGAATATTGCATTCAGTTCTGGGCACTGAATTGGAGATTGTGCCTGAGATTTAGAAGAATACTTCCTGGGATGAGGAATTTCAGTGAGGAAGTTAGATTGGAGAAGTTGGGATAGTTCTCCTTGGATAAGTGTAGGATGAGGAGAGAGCTGATCAAAGTATTCAAAATCATGAGGAATCTGTACATAGCAATTAGGGAGAAAACCATTCCCATTCATGAAAGGATTGAGAATGAATGGATGCAAATTTAAAATAATTTGTAAACAAAAAGGAAAAGTGAAATAAGAAAACGTTTTCACACAGCAAGGAGTTAGGAATGCTTGAGAATCTGGTACACACAGGTTCAACCAAAGCACCCAAGCAGATTATAAAATGGTTATTTTAAGAAAGAATATTGTGCAGGATTATACAGAGAAAGCAAATGAATGGGACTAGGGGAGATTATTATTTGGAGATCCAGTGCAGATATAACGGGCCGAATGTCCTCCTTCTGCACTGTAACAATTCTGTGACTCTGATTGTGTGAGGAGATTACAGAGTGAGGATGGTGAAGATCTTGGAAAGATTTTAAACGACACCCAACATCCAGATCCCAATTTACAGAGAAAACTGACCACAGAATAATAACCAGCTCCCAAAACACACACACAACTCAACACCAGGAAATCAGTATGAATCCTCAGACACTCTGCACCTCCCACATAATTACACCCTGCCTTCTCGTGTTCAGGAATGATCCGTCAACAAAACTCAGCCTGGAAATCAGAAGGGAAATGCTTCCAATAAACACACTCAATATCCAACACACAGCTCCAGTCAAACAGTTCAGCACAAAGCACCGAGTAAACAGCTCTCTCAGCTGGATCTTCTCACACAGCATAAGGGACATTTCCACCCCTGATTGCCCACAGGATAGTCAGACTGCCTGAAGATTGGTGTGGATATTATGGGATACAATTTGTATAAAAGCTGCTCCTTCACTCACCATCTCCTCACTTGGTTTTCAGTCCCTATAGGAAGTGAACCAGCTCTGGAAGAGGAAGAGGAGAGAATTGGCAGAGTGGGTGGATTCTGATTGACGTCTCTCACAGTCAATCCAAATATTTCTGCAGCTAAACGAGTTTCCTGAAGCTTGGGAAACTGACCGGTGAAATGGAAGTGACATTGAGCAGCAGATCAAGTGGGGATTTAAACTTGTCATTGTCCCCATCTGAATAAAACCTCACTTATTGCAGCTGCTGTCTCAGTTCCCCTGGTAAATGTTTGACAGAGATTTCTAATGTGGGAATAGTATTCTTCATCCTCAGAGACTTTCAAACTGACAGCATCAGTGTGGGATGTGTATCCTCGGATGTGTTTGACAGCAGATCAGAAGAGGAAGACCCACAGTATCCAAGGCAGTGATGATGTGCAGTGGTAGGATCAACACGTATACATGAGGTGGTAGGGGGTGGACAACTGACAGAGGGACATAGACTCATAGAGTAATACAGCATGGAAACAGGCCCTTCGGTCCAAACTGGCACCATGCTGACCATGGTGCCCACTGAGCTAGTTCCAATTGCCCACATTTAGTCCATGGCCCTCTAAACCCTTCCCATCCATGTACCTATCCAAATGTTTTTTAAATGTTGCTATTGTGCCTGCCTCAACAACTTTCTCTGGCAGCCCATTCCATATATACACCACTCTCTGCATGAAGAAGTTGCCCCTCAGTTCCTTCTTAAATCTTTCATCTGTCACCTTAAACATATGCCTCCTGGTTTTCAATTCCCCATCCCTGGGTAAAAGACTTTCTGCATTCATCCTATCTATGCCCATCATGATTTCACGCACCTCAATAAGGTCACTCCTCATTCTCCTACATTTCAAGGAATAAAGTCCTATGCTGGCCATCCTCTCCCTATAACTCAGGCCTACTAGTCCTGGCGACATCCTGATAAATCTTCTTTGCACACTTTCCAGTTTAACTATGTCTTTCCTATAACAGGGTGACCAAACCTATGCACAATTATGAATTAGGAACAGAAGTAGGTCCATGGAACTCTTGAGCCTGCACTGGCATTCAGTAAGATGAAAGCTGATCTGTTTGTGTTCCAACATTCACATTTTCTCCACATCAACTTCAGTAACCTTTCATTATATAAGACCACGTCCACTTTTAAAATGTTCAATTATTGCAACTTCTCTGCCTTCTGAGGTACAGAGTCCCAAAGTCACATAAGCCTCTGAGAGGCAGCATTTCCCCTCACTTCTGTCCTGAAAGGGCAACTCCTTGTTTTAAAACAGTGCCCCTTAATTCTGGACTCACCTACAAGATGAAATATCTTTTCCACGTCAACTTTGTCAAACCCATTCAGGATCTTATCAACTTCAATCAATTCCCCTCTCGTTCTTCTGAACTATGGTGAAAGCAAATTCAGTCTGACCAATCCTTCCTCAGAGGACAACCCAATCAATCTGGTTAATCTCCTTTAAACCGTTTTACATCTTTGTTTAAATAAAGACCCCAAAGCTACACACAATATTCAAGGTCTCATCAATGCGTTGTACAAATGAAGTATAACATCCTTAATTTAATGTTCCTCTTGTAATAAAAGATTGCATTCCATTAGCCTTTTTAATTAGTTGCTGTAATGGCATACAATCAGTTTGTGATTCCTGCGCTCAAACATTTAGATTATTCTGCAGTTGTTCTAATTAAACAATTAAAAAAAAAATCTTCCTGTCATAGCGGACAATTTCACATTTTTCCACATTTGATCCCATCTGGTAGTTTTTTGCCGTCTCACTTTGTTTTTGGCATGCATTTGAGGGTCACAGAAGAGGGACAGAGAAGAGATGATTACAGAAGTGAGAATCACAGGACCAAGTGGCACAAGGAAAAAGGGTACATGAGAAAAGGAAGAGTGTATCAGGATGGATGGGCACGGGGGAAGTGACAGGGGAGGGAGAGGCACAGGAGGGAGGGACAGATGAGGGAGAGACAGAGGAGGGAGAGGCACAGGAAAAAGAGGCAAAGGAAGGAGGGGCTCTGGACAGACAAAGAAGAAAGGACAGAATTGACTGACTCTTGACTTTTGGAGTGACTGATTTGGAGATTGCTTCTGTGACTCGGGGAGGGCCAACACAAGTAATTGAATCAGAAACTCTGGGAGTGAACTTAACTGGGAGATTAACTCTGTGACAGGGGAGGTTCATAGGATGTGGACATTGCTGGCAACATTGGCATTAATTGACCATGAATTAAGCAATTCATTTCATCCAGTCTGCTCCATCAGTTGATCATGGCTGATACAATTCTCAACCCCACCCTCCTGTTTTCTCCTTGTAACCTTTGATCCCCTTACTAATCAAGAACCTGTCTGCCTCTGTCTAAAATACACTCAATGATTTGGACTCCACAACCTTCTGTGACAATGAGTTCCATAGACTCACCACGCTCTGACCGAAAAAAAATTTCCTCCTTTGTTCTAAAGGGTCATCTCTTCACTCTGAGACTGTGCCCTTGGGTTCTAGTCTCTCCTACTAGTGGAAACATCTTCTCCATGTCCACTCTATCCAGGCCTTTCCGTATTCTATAAGTTTCAATGAGATCCCCCCACTCAGCCTTCTAAACTCCATTAAGTGTAGACCCAAAGTCCTGAACTGCTTCTCATATGATAAGCCCTTCATCCCAGGATTATTCTTGTAAACCTCCTCTGGACCCCTTCCAAGGCCAGCACATTCTTCCTTAGATACTGGGCCCAAAACTGCTCACAATATTCCAGATATGGTCTGAGCAGAGCCTTTTACAGCCTTAGCAGTACATCACTGCTTTTCTATTCTAGCCCTCTTGAAATGAATGTTAACATTGCATTTGCCTTCTTAATTACCAACTGAATCTGCATGTTAACCTTAAGAGAATCCTGAACTGGGACTCCTAAGTTTCATTGAGCTTCAGATTTCTGAGGCTTTTCCCATTTAGAAAATAGTCAATTCCTCTATTCTTCCTACCAAAATGTATAATCTCACACTTTGCCACATTTTATTCTATCGGCCATTTCCTTGTCCACTCGCCTAACATGTTGTTGTCTTTCTGCAGCTTCCCTGTTTCCTCAACATTACCTGTCCCTTCACCTGTCTTTGTGTCATCTGTAAACTTAGCAACAATGCCCTTAGATCCTTTGTACAGATTGTTAATGTATAACCTGAATAGTTGTGGTCCCAAGCCTGACCCCTGTAGATCTCCTGTAGTCACCGCTGGCATCCTTAAAAAGACGCTTTTATCCCTACTCTCTGCCTTCTGCCAGTCAGCTAATCCTCTATCTATTGCCAGTACCTTGCCCTGACACCATGGGCTGTTATCTTATTTAGCAGCCTCCTGTTAAAGGCCTTCTGGAAATCCAAATCGATCATGTCCACCAACTCTCATTTGTCTAACTTGCTTGTTACCTCCTTTAAGAATTCTAAGACTTTTGTCAGATGCGACCTCCCCTTGACAAAGCTGTGCTGACTCTATCCTATTTTACCAAGAACTTCCAAATACTCAGCAATCTTATCCTTAACAATGGACTCTAAAATCTTACCAGTGACTGAGGTTCAAAGGTGTTTCAGGAGAATGTGTATCAGGATTTTCCCCGCTGTGGTCAAGAGGGAAATACCTCAATACAGCTCACAGCATGATTTATCTCCCTTCTTGAAGATAATCTGAATTGTCGCATTCTGTGGGAGTGGGGGATTTTTTTTCCCCCCCATATCCATGGGATAAGTTCATGCACTCTTGATGCAAGGAAAAGTTCTCAGGATTTGAAACTCTCAGCTGGAATACCATCGGTGCTCCATAAGATCATAAGACATAGGAGCAGAAATTAGGCCATTCGGCCCATCGAATCTGCTCCACCATTCATGACTGATAAGTTCCTCAATCCCATTCTCCTGCTTTCTTCCCGTAACCCTTAATCCCCTTGATAATCTTGAACCTATCTATCTCCTTCTTGTTCCTTGTCTGCTTGATTGCTTGTTGCAGCTCTCCCGTCGATAGTGACTCACCTCTGTATTCTACCACAAGGCACTAGGGGGATAGGCTGAAGGGTATCAGCTGTCCCTGTGGATTTATGGTTGAGGAGTTTTTAAAAATGTTTTCTCCAGCGTTAATGGGTGTCATTGTCATCTATAAGAAGAGAAAATCCATCCTGCGAATGAAGGGGAATTTGTCCATTTGACCTTGGTCTGTAGATGGCCATAAGATTCAAGTGTAGTGATGATCAACGTGTTGTCCTTTCTCTTCCCAGCTCATGTCCCTTATCTTCTAGATTTATCTTTGAGTGTCAGACTGGAGCTGAGGTAGTGCTCCTATTGGACTTTCAAGGTTCCTGTCTGCCTCTGGTGTCTGTGATGTGAGCCACCTTGGTGCTTTTCCAAGTGGTGGTCAACATCGGAGGAGGTACTGTCTCATCACCTGAAGGTGTTAAAGGAGCAGAGACAGGGTGTTTTGAGAAAATTCCGCAGTTCAGCATGTTGGCAAATGAAGGCACAGCTGTCATTACTTCCCTCATGTTTCAGTTAAAGGCATGAGTTGTCATGTGAATCAAACTCACTGTTGAGATCTTGCAGGGTCGTTCCATCACTCCCTTCGCCAGGTCATACCCAGGGAGGTTGCTGAAGGATTTGTGGAACATCTGGTGATGTTCTGTGAGTGTGATTATGTCAGGCTTGTGTGTGACTAGTCTGTGGGACAGCTCTGCCAGGTTTTTGAAAGGAGAATTATTCAGTGTCAGCTGGACTTCATGTGCCTTTGACCTTGATATAAATTTGGACATGGTAGTATGAAGCAGTTCACCAATGCTATTCCTCTTGTGTTTTATTGAAGGGATTTAAATGGACCAAGTGTGGTTAACCGGAGCATTCAGAGTAGATCCTGTGTCAGACCTAGATCAGACTGAGTAAGAACGGGAGATTTCCCTTCCCCCAGAACAGCTGTGAGCTGGTTTCATTTTTACACCAACCTGATTGTTTTACAGTCACTATTCCTGACAGAATTTATTTTTATGAGGTTTAGTTGATTAACTGAACTCAAATCAAAAGCAGTGCAGTGGGATTTGAGTTCTCCCCGTATGAGTCCAGTTCTCTGGATTATATACCCAGTAACATAACATCCAGATCACTGCCCCTGAGATTAAGCTGTCAGGTCAGATCCCAGACAATTAAAGAATGATACATGGGTCAACTCAAAATGAGAAATATTACAACAGGATTTTGTTCCAGCTTCATTTACACAGATTTGGGAATTCTGGATAACCAATCAACAGTTTTACTGCAGAGGGTTGTTGAGGCTGGGTCATTCAGTATGTTCAAGGCTGAGATAGACAGATTTTTAATCAGTAAGGGAATCGAGGCTTACGGGGAAAAGGCAGGAAAGTGGAGTTGAGGATTATCAGATCAACTTTTATCTCATTGAATGGTGGAGCAGACTCGATAGACTGAATGGCCTATTTCTGCTCCTAAGTCTTACATTTAGATGATGCCTGTAAAGTAAAATTGGAAAATCAAATGCCTTGTAATCCATGGATTTATTAGGAACAGAGTGATCATCTGATTAATCTTTCCATCTCCTAAGGAAACTGGAGAGGAATTTCCCAGAAAACTTTTCTCCAGAATGACTCTTGGTTCTTAATCAGCTTTCCTTCGACTCCAGGAAGTAACACAGTCTCGATTGGACTGGAGAAGTCAATCTATTTTGCTGCATTTGTATGGGACAAGCTGGATGGATCAGAGTTTTGTTTCCTCTCATGACCTTTTCTGAATGTCCTCATGTTTTATTTCAATAAATTAAATGTAAAAGTTTTAAGATGGAAACACAAACAGGGAAGGAAAATTAATGACCTGTCAGCGGTCTGATTTATCTCTGGATGCTAGCAGGGAACAGTTGGTGGAAGAGCTGAATTCTGCAATGGGGGCATGGGGTTTGCAATCTGAGGACTGTCACTGGATTCAGCTGCTGACTGTGTGAACTCTGAGTCACACATCGGGCAGGGCCCAGCTAAAATGCACAGTCTGCGCATAGAACTCACTCATCCATCATTCTGCACAGTTCTATCAGATCCATCGCTCATATCCAACCAGCAGGAAGCACCAACTGACGCACTGGTCTCCAATCACTCAGGGAATACTGTCTCTTGGAAAATGACTATTTCAAGAAAACTTTCAGCAGCTCCTTCCCTACTTCCTAGGGCTCCAGGAGAGTCACATTACAATTGAATGAAACCTCAAACTCCCTGAATCAGATTCTCAATTAAGATACATTTCTAATGTTCCTTCCAGAATATGAATACAACAGAGTTCCTCAGGGTAGTGTCCTTGGTCCAACCATCTTTAGCTGCTTTATCAATGAACTTCCCTCCATCTTAAGGTTAGAAGTGAGGATGTTCACTGATGATTGCACAACGTTCAGCATCATTCATGGTCTCCTCAGGTACTGAAGCAGTCTATGGTGAACTCGTGGACAACGGAAACTGGTGGATATGGTGTATCTGGATTTCCAGAAAACATTCAACAAGGTGCCACACAAAAGGCTATCTCATAAGATAAAGGTACACAGTATTACGGGTAATATATTAGCATGGATAGAAAATTGGTTAACTAAAAGAGAGTGCGGAGTGGGGATAAATGGGTGTTTTTCTGGTTGGCGATCAGTGGCTAGTGGTGTGCCTCAGGGATCAGTGTTGGGAGCACAATTGTTTCCGATTTACCTCAACAATTTAGAGATGGGGAACAAGTGTAGTGTGTCAAAGGTCACAGACGACACTAAAATGAATGGTAGAGCAAAGTGTGCAGAGGGCACTGAAAGTCTACAGCAGGATATAGATAGGGAATGGGAAAGAGTCTGGCAGATGGAGTATAATGTTGGTAAATGTGAGATCATCCATTTTGGTTGGAATAACAGCAAAATGAACTGTTATTTAAATGGTGAAAAACTGCAGCATGCTGCTGTGCAGAGGGACCTGGATGTCCTTATGCATGAATCACAATAATTTGGTTTGCAGGTGCAGCAGATAATTAAGAAGGCAAATGGAATATTATCCTTCATTGCTAGAGGGATGGAGTTTACAAATAGGGAGGACATGCTGCAGCTGTGTAGGGTGCGGGTGAGGCCACACCTGGAGTACTGTGTACAGTTTTGGTCTCCTTACTTGAGAAAGGATGTCCTGCCACTGCAAGAGATGCAGAGGAGGTTCACTTGGTGGATTCTAGAATTGAGAAGATTGCCTTGTGAGGCGAGATTGAGTAGATTGGCACTGTACTCATTGGAATTTAGAAGAATGAGGGGGAATCTTATATAGAAAATATAAATTTATGAAAGGGATAGCAGCAGGAAGTTTGTTTCCACTGGTGTGTGAAACTATAACTAGGGAGCATTGCCTCAAAATAAGGGGGAGCAGATTTAGGACTGTGGTGAGGAGGAAATTCTTCACCCAAAGGGTTGTGAATCTGTGGAATTCCCTGCCCAGTGAAGCAGTTGAGGATATCTTGTTGAATGTTTTTAAGGCAAAGATAAACTGGGAAAGGCTTTGGAAATCTGAAGTGCAAAGGGACTTAGGAGTTTGAGTTCAGGATTCTCTGAAGGTTAACATGCAGGTTCAGTTGGCAGTTAAGAAGGCAAATGCAATGTTAGCATACATTTCAAAACAGAATACAAGAACATAGATGTACCGCTGAGGCTGTGTAAGGCTCTGATCAGACCATATTTGGAATATTGTGAACAGTTTTGGGGCACTGCATCTAAGGAAAGATGTGCCAGTGTTGGAGAGAGTCCAAATGAGGTTTATGGGATCCTGAGGATGATGGGCTTGTTATATGAGGAGCAGCTGAGGACTCTGAGTCTGTACTCTACAGAGTTTAGTACGATAAGGGGGGGATCTCATTGAAACTTCCAGAATACTGAATGCCTTGGACAGAGTAGATGTGGAGATGTTTCCAGTAAGAAAGACTAGGCCCTGAGGACATAGACTCAGACTGAATGGACTCTTTAGAACGGAGATGAGGAGGAATTTCTTCAGCCAGAGAGTGGGTCATCTGTGGAACTCATTGCCATAGAAGGTTATGGAGTCCGAGTCATTGAATGTATTTAAGACAGAGACAGGTAGGTTCTTGATTAGTATGGTGATCAAGGGTTATGGGGAGAAGGCAGGAGGATGGGGTTGAGAATTATGCCAGCCATGATTGAATGACAGATCAGACCCAATGAGCTGAATTCTCTAATTCTGCTCCTTTATTTTATGGTATTATAAAAACTGTACAGGAATTCTGCAGCAAGTAACTCACATTTGAATCCTTTCTACTATCTACAAGGCACAAGCCAGGAGTGTGATGAAGGTAGCAGAACGGGGTTGTAAAATGTATCAACCATGATCAAATAGTGGGGCAGACTTGATGGGTCGAATGGCCTAATTCTTCTCCTTTATCTTATGGTCTTGCTGTGGCTGAGAAAATCCTCCCAGAGACACAGTGATATCCCTATTGAGCAGGAGCTTCTGTACATATTGTTTTATTCATTTGGTGATGTTTGATGATCAGGTCAAAGGTTAAGTTGACCTTCTTGAAATGATTGGCCTGATGGTGGGAGAGATGTGATGTGGAGGTGCCGCTGTTGGACTGGGGCAGACAAAGCCAGAAGTTGCACGACACCAGGTTATAGTCCAACAGGTTTATTTGAAATCACAAGCGTAGCCCGGAGACAAACAGTGCTTTGGAAGGACAGCTCCCCCTGTGTGAGTGCTAGAGGATAAACAGCGCAGACTGCTCTCTGCAACAGAAGCAGGTGATCCAGCTCCAAGTCTGGTGAGAGGAGGAGGAGAAACAATCCTGATACATATAGAAGGGATTTTATAAGATTTTATAAGGGATTTCAGCCACTTCAATTTGTAAGTAATTTCTAATTTTGTTTGAAATGTCCAAATATGGAATATGATCTCTGTTTTGTTCATAGGAAAGATAACCAATCAGCAGAAAAGGAGTCTTGGATGGTAAAGTTTCGAAATTTTATTGAAGAAATTTTAAGTGAATAGTGTTAGGATAATGATACTTTACAGCTTCAGCTGGTTGTACAGTCTGGTGAAATGTGAATCACTCTCTTTCTCTCAGGTCTCTGGCCTCTATCTTACAGCTCCTCACACAGAATGACAGGTTAGTCACACTCTGGACTCTCCAATATCTGGCAGTACTGAGACATTGTTACAGTATTCCTCAGTTAAACCCTAAGGTGACCATCATGTCAGAGTCAGGCAATGACTGACTTTAGCTGTTGCTGGGTAAACGTGTTTGTTTCCAAATTGCATTTTTCTCCAACAAGCCACTCAGTTTAAAGTTTTGGCAAAGAGCTGTAGCTCGGGTTGTGGGTGAGGTTGCTGACTTGCTTGCCGAGCTGGCTTTTTCTTGTTCAGACATTTCGTCACCATGCTAGATGACATCATCAGTGCAGCCTCCGATGAAGCGATGTTATTCTACTTCGCTTGGAATTTATACTGTTTGGTCCGTTATGGTGAGTAGTGTCATTTCCGGTTTTGATCTGTATGGGTTTGTATGTGGGGTCCAATTCTATGTGTTTGTTGATTGCATTACTCAGACAAAGAAGGCCATCAGTTTAACTGGGACAAGGTAACCATAGTAGCCCAATCCAAACATAGACACGCACGGGAATTCCTACAGGCATGGTTCTCCACCCATGATGCAATCAACAAACATATAGAATTGGACCCCATATACAAACCCATACAGATCAAAACCGGAAATGACACTACTCACCATAACGGACCAAACAGTATAAATTTCAAGCTGAGTAGAATAACATCGCTTCATCGGAGGCTCCACTGATGAAGCATGGTCTCAACCAGATACCAATGTCTCCACAGACTTGCAGCTGGGTCACTTGCTTCTGTTGCAGAGAGCTGTCTGCTCTGTTTATCCTCTAGCACTCACACAGGGGGAGTTGTCATTCCAAAGCACTGTCAGTCTCCAGGCTACGCTAGTGATTTCAAATAAACCTGCTGGACTATAACCTGGTGTCGTGCGATTTCTGACTTTGTCACCTAGCATGGTGACGAAACGTCTGAACGAGAACAAGCCAACTCGGCGAGCAAATCAACAACCTCAACAAGCTACTCTCAGTGTGTCAGACAGGAATACGATGATTTGCTGCATACTGTTCCTGAATCTGATTTCAAACAACTCTCTATTCATTCAGCCAGACTCAACAAGACCCTGAAGTGCTGTCTGAGAGTTATTACCAGGGTTTCAAAACAATCCCCTTCCTATAGCAGATTCTTACAAAGACATATAGTGATTATATCAACACTGAAATGAAAACCCAGTCTTTCTCATGCAATTTTTGATCACACCAATTGTTAATCATAATTCAGTCAAGGTTCATTCACTACATTTATAGTCACCTGTTTCATTGATATTAAAATGGCTCTCTTGATGTGGTTAGTAAATGAGATGAACAAAGTATGGAACTGGTTGTTGGACTAAAATCTAATACCTCCAGGCCTACACATCACACTGGAAGAGTTTGTCTCCCATGTTGTTTCACTGATGTTCCAGGAGGTCTGGCAACTGTGTGAAAGCTTTTCTCCAGAATTTAAACTGAGAGGGTTACTTTGTTTGTGAGTGTGTTGATGGATCTGGAGATACAAAGTGACTGTGTGAAAACCTTGTCATACACTTCACCCCAAATGGTTTCTCTCTGTGGATGCGCTGGTACATTAGGAGATCAGGAGAGTGGGTGTAAGTCTTGTCATAATATTGAATATGAACAGTTGCTCTGTTGTGTGGATTCTCTTGTGTCGCAGGATGCCTGATGATGTTAAGAATGACTTGTAACAAACCTCACACCGGAATGGTTTCTCCCTTGTGTGGATCTGCTGGTGTTTTAGGAGATCGTATGAGTGAATGAAAGTCTTTTCACAAACAGCGCACCTGAACAGTTTCTCTCCGGTGTGAATCCTGCAGTGTCGCAGGAGGGTGGAAGATGTCACAAAGGCTTTGTCACACTCCTCACACTTGAAAGGTTTCTCCCCCGAGTGGATCCTCTGATGGACCAGGAGGTTCGATGACCTTGAGAATGATTTGTCACACACCTCACATGTGAATGGTCTCTCCCCCGTGTGAATGTGTTTGTGTGTGCGGAGGTTCGATGACTGAGGAAATGATCTGCCACAGCCCTCACACGTGAATGGTTTCTCCCCGGTGTGAATTCTCTGATGGAGCAGGAGCTTTGATGTCTCCAAAAATGATTTGTCACAAACATCGCATGTGAACGGTTTCTCCCCTGTGTGGATATGTTGGTGTGTGCGGAGGTTCGATGACTGAGAAAATGATTTGTTGCACACCTCACATGTGAACGGTTTCTCTCCCGTGTGTACTCGTTGGTGCCCAACCTTCTCTGTGTTGAGCAATGCTGTGAAGGGACTGGATGTCTTCCCTGGGTGTTCTTCCTTGGGTGATGGTCAGGATCTATCTGCAGTATCTATCCTCTCTGTATTTTCTGATGTAGTACAGTGCAATCTTTCTGTAAAACAGGAAAAGGTAACATAATTTCCTCCAACTCCCCCTGCTCCTTTGCTGAAGGGGTTGATTCCTCAGGTAGGCCTAGGCACCAGGAGGACAATGGGAAAGAAAGTCTCATGGAATCTGAAACAGTCTCTGAATTCACCATGTGATTGAGTCATGTTGATGAAGATCAGTTTTACTCCAACTTAAGATGCAACAAAAATCAGGAGAAACGTTGATTCAATGAAAATATTGAAATGCCTCTCCTTATTTTCGAAAATTATTTGAGGAATATGCACTGAGCAGGAAGTGCTAGAAGCTGAGGAAAATATTGCTTCAATGTAGCTGATTGAAAGATTCTGCTATATCGTAGGAAATTAGATACACTGCACTCAGTCAGACAGCACATCCCAAATTCAGTTATCAGCCACAACTTTGGGCAAAAGGATCAAATCAAAGTCCAGACTTTTGGGAAAGTTTCCCTGAAAGGCATTTCTGATCTTCACCTCAACAACTCCATGTTGTGAAGGTGAATTTAATTCATTTTGGAATTTGTGGATTTAGAACCAAAATAAAAACATGAAAACATTAAAAAAAAATGAACCGTGATGCTGGAAATCAGAAACAAAAACAGAAGTTGATGGTAAAACGCAGCATCTGTGGAGAGAAAGCAAGGTTAACTTTTTGAGTCCAGTGACCCCTCCTTCAGGACTTTTTCCATGAAAACCTTCAGCTTGTCCTAAAAACTCAAGCATTGTCCTTCAGGGAAGGAACCTGCTACAACTGCCTGATCTGGTCTACATGTGACTCCAGTCCTCAATTGAGGACAGATACACCATTGAAGAATGAGAACTTCACAATATTTATTATCACTGGGGTAGTTGTACTTGCTGTGCACACATTCACAGCTATGTTTCCTATGTTACAGCAGTGACCACACTTCAAACATACTTCAGTGCCTTAACAGAACTTTCGAGTCACCTGTTATGAAAGGCTCTATATAAAGGCAAGGTTTGTTTTCTGAGGTTATTACAGAGATAGGGTGGTGGGAGAGATAAAAACAGACAATGCTGGAAAAACTCTGTAGAGGTCTGGCAGCACCTGTGAAGAGAGAAACAGAGTTAATGTTTCGAGCCTGGTATCACTCTTCTTCATAACTGAACGGTATTTGATAAGTTTTAAAATTTCTTTTAATAGAGCAGAGGAGGATCACGGGCAGATGTTGGAGAAGACTAGTGCAGAATACAAAGGGGCGGAGGTGACGGAGAAAGAGATGTGGAATATGTGTAAATTATGCGTGAAAGGGAGAGAATGGCCTTCTCTGCTCAGAGTAAATTATGAACGACACAAAAAATGAAGGCTGTGGGGAGGAATTGGAGGGGAGGGATGTAAGAAAATTGGAGAGCAGACATAATGCGGTCAGTTTCTGAAGTCATGAGATATAGCATTAAGTCCTTGAGGGTGTAGTTTGTCGAAGCAGAAAATGAGGTGTTGTTCCTTGAGCTTGTGCTGCAGCAGTCCCAAGACAGACAGGATTACATCACAGAAGATGGTTTAGTGAATTGGCAGGCAATGGGAGGGTCCTGGATTTGAAAAGACATGAAGCAGCCAGATCCCAACACAGAGAACTGACCATTTTCAGTCCGCAGGATAATAACCAGCTCCCAACACACACACAGAACAACAGGAAATCAGTAAGAATCCTTGGACACTCTGCTGTTCCCAGATAACGACACCTCACCTTCTCATATTCAGGAATGAGCCATCAACAAAACTCAACCTGGAAATCAGAAGGGAAATGCTTCCAATAAACACACTCAATATCCAACACACAGCTCCAGACAAACAGTTCAGCACAAAGCACCGAGTAAACAGCTCTCTCAGCTGGATCTTCGCCGGAGTGTGGTGACTCTTTGCGAGCTGTCTACAGCAGATCTTATTCTTACATATCTTACTGCTCTTTTAAAACTCAATTCTAAGTCTGTTGAAATTACTAACAATGTTCTCTTAAATCTTCTTGCAAGTCTGGAGATCGTCCAATCAATGAAGCCCAATTACTGATGCAGGAATGAGACCTGACCCGCAGTGACCCAACATCCAGGAGGACTGACCAGATCGATTGCAACATCTTCCAGATTGCACAGGTCCAAGACTGGTGGCCAGAACCCCATCAGGAGACCTACTTATCTTATGGAGCAGCAGGCTTCCCTCACCAACACCCAGGATCAACTAGGAGCAGTCACCTGACAGGAAATGTGGGAGATGCGCTGGACTTTGGGTGAGACTGAAACTCTCATGCCCCCCCTGGCCAAGGTCCAAGCCACTGAAAACAAAGGACAACCTTAAAGCCATACTCACCTTCCAAAGGGAATTGCGGGACTGCTGTGTGCTCTGTTTCACAGAGACATGGCTCATACTTGTTACACCTGACTGTGCCGTACAACCTGAGGACTTCTTACTTCACCAAATGGCCCGCACGCTGTCCTCGGGCAAGGCAAAGGGCAATGAGATCTGCCTCCTAACCAACACCACCTAGTGGTCAGATGTGGCAATCCTGGTGAGTCACTGCTCCCTGGAATATGACAGTGAAGTGCCATCCATACTACCTGCTGCATGAATTCGTCTCCACCATCCTGGCAGCGGTCTACATCCCACTCCGTATGGAAGTGAAGAGTGCACTCGATGAAGTATACAATGCTGCAGACAGTCTTCAAACGGAATATCCCGAAGCCTTCTTCATCATTGCTGGCAACTTCAACCAGCCCAGCCTCAAGAATGTGGTACCAAAATTGCACCAATATATCTCCTGTCCCACCTGAGGTCTGAACATCCTTGACCACTGCTACACAACCATAAAAGATGCCTACTGCTCCACACCATCCCCATCCTGGAAAGTCAGATCACAATGCTGTGCTCCTCATCCCAGCTACAAGCAGAAATTGAAGAGCAAGGACCCAGTGCAGAAAGTAGTGCAGTGTTGGTCTGAGGAAACTGAAGGGTTCTATGGGACGTAGAGTCGGTGAACTGGTCCTTATTTGAGAACTCAGCAGCCAACCTAAATGAGTATGCCACTGCAGTTACAGACTTCATTAGTAAGTGTGTAGATGACTGCGTGCCGAAGAAATTAATCTGAATGTTCCCCAACTGGAAACTATGGATGGACTGGGCGATCCACTCCATACTGAAGGCCAGGTCTGAGGCATTCAATTCAGGCGACCCTGACCTATCCAGGTGAGACTAAAACTCTGAGTTTCAAGCCCCCCCACCCCCGGCTTGATAAGGCCATCAGGGATGCCAAAAGGCAATACGAAACTAAGCATGAGACTCGGACCAACCGCATGGACACCCATCGTTTATTGCAAGGCATACAAAAATAATGGGCTACAAAGCGAAGTTGAACAGAATCACAGATATCAGTACATCCTTACCCAATGAGCTCAATGCATTCTATGCTTGCTGTGAACAGAAGGGCAATGAAATGATGTCAACTGTCCCGTCAGCCTCAGATGCACCTACCTATATGCACGGTCATCACCGCAGGCATAACCCACAGAAAGCCACCAACCCAGATGGAGTCCCGGCCATGCACTCAGATCCTGCGTGGACCAGCTGATGGGAGTATTTGCTGACATCTTTAACCTCTCTTTACAATGATCTGAAGTCTCCACCTGTTTCAAGGAGGCAACCATCATTCCGGTGCTAAAGAAAATCATGCAGCGTGCCTCAGTGATGACTGCCCAGTGGCTCTGACCTCTATAATTATGAAGTGCTTTGAGAGGTTAATCCTGGCTCACATCAACTCCAGCCTCCCAAACTGCCTTGATCTCTTGCAATTTACCTACTAGCAGCACAGGTCCACACCACATGCCATCTCCTTGGCCCTACACACATCCCTGGAACATCTGGATAACAAGGATACCTATGTCAGGCTCCTACATATTGACTATAGTTCCACAATTCCAAACGAACTCATCTCCAAACTCTGAGAGGTCTTGGAGTTTGGAGATGAGTTTGTTTGGAATTGTGGTGCTGAAAGTCTCTGCTCAGCCCTCTGTAACTGGATTCTCGACTTCCGGACCAACAGACCACAGTCAGTAAGGACAGGTGACAATACGTCCTCCACAAGAATCCTCAACACCGCTGCCCAACAAGGCTGCGTAGTCAGCCTGCTACTATAATCGTTATGCACACACGACTGTGTGGCCAAATTCCTCACCAACTCCATTTATAAGTTTGCTGATGACACCACCGTTGTAGGTCAGATCTCGAACAATGATGAGATGGAGTAGAGGAAGGAAGCAGAGTACTTAACAGCATGATGTAAAAACAACAATCTCTCCATCCACATCAGCAAAATGAAGGAGCTGGTCTTTGACTCCAGGAAGCAGAGTGGAGAGCACACCCCTGTCTGCATCAATGGTACTGAGGTAGAGATGGTTGACAGCATCATGTTCTGGGGAGTGATGATCATCAACAACCTGTCCTGGTCCGCCCATGTCCAGGCTGCAGTCAAGAAAGCACAAGAACAGTTCTCCTTCCTCAGGGGTTGAAGGAAATTCGGCACGGTCCATGAAGACTCTTACAAATTTTTGTGGATGCATCATAGAATGCGTCCTATCTGGATGCATTATAGCATGGTATGCCAAATCCCTTCCCAAGACTGCAATAACTTACAGAGAGTTATGAACACAGCCCAGTGCATCATGCAAACTACCTTCACATCCATTGACTTCATTTATATTTCCTACTGCCTCGGGAAAGCAAGCAACATAATCAAAGACACCTCCCACTCCAGTTATAGTCCCTTCCAACTTCTTCTGTCATAGAATATATAAATGTTTGAATACGCATACAAACAGATTCAAGAAAGGCTTCTTTCCTGCTGTTACACATCTTTAAATGAACCTCTTAAATGTTGATCTCTTTCTCTGCATCTTCTCGGCAGCTGTAACACTGTATCCTGCACTCTGTTCTATTACCCTGATGCACTTGTATAGTACGATCTGCCTGTAAAGCACATAAGACAACAATTGTCACTGCGGTACATGTGACAGTAATAAAGCAAATCAAATCAACACACAGCTCCAGACTAACAGTTCATCACAAAGCACCGAGTAAACAGCTCTCTCAGCTGGATCTTCTCACACAGCATAAGGGACATTTCCACCCTGATTGCCCACAGGATAGTCAGACTGCCTGAAGATTGGTGTGGATATTATGGGATACAATTTGTATAAAAGCTGCTCTTCACTCACCATCTCCTCACTTGGTTTTCAGTCCCTATAGGAAGTGAACCAGCTCTGGAAGAGGAAGAGGAGAGAATGGGCAGAGTGGGTGGTCTCTCTGAGTGGCGTCTCTCACAGTCAATCCAAATATTTCTGCAGCAACATGAGTTTCCTGAAGTTTGGGAAACTGACCGGTGAAATGGAGGTGACAGATCAAGTGGGAATTTAAATTTGTCATTGTCCCATCTGAATAAAATCTTGCTTATTGCAGCTGCTGTCTCAGATCCCCTGGTAAATGTTTGACAGAGATTTCTCGTGTGGGAATAGCATTCTTCATCCTCAGAGGCTTTCAAACTGACAGCATCAGTGTGGGATGTGTATCCTCGGATGTGATTGACAGCAGATCAGAAGAGGAAGGCCCACAGCATCCAAGGCAGCGATGATGTGGTGTATTGTCAGGACATTCTCTCATCTTCAGTTCAGCTCTTTTCACCATGTTTGAACAAATTCTGCACAGAGATCCTATAATCTGTGCTGTATCCAGTTCCTCTGGGTGTTTCTATATGCCACATTGATTAAATCAGATTGGTTGAAGACTCCCACCTGTGATTCTGAGGACCTCTGGAGGAGACCAAGATGGATAATCCACTCAGCAGTTTTCTGGCTGAAGATTGATCCAGTCATTTATAGACTTGTCTTTTTCACTAATGACCAGTGTCCCCCCAAGATTGATAAGAGGGATATCTGTTGAGCCTCATGTTCCTGTAAGTTGTTGAAATGTCCACCAGTCTTCATGACTGGATGTGGCATGACTACAAAGCTTTAGACCTGATCCATTGGTGTGGGATTACACATCCATGCCTATTGAACTTGTGCACCCACAATTTGATTCACAACTAGCCTGTGTTGGTTCTGGACTGGAGGTGATTGGTTCTACAGGTTTTGGAGGAGGTGAGTGGGAAAGAGTGAGTGGAGAGAGACAGTGAAAGAGAGGAGGAAAGAGAGTGGGAAAGGACCACCATTCACAGCAGGAGGAAGAGAGATTGAAAAAGGGAGAGTTCAGAGACAGAGTGGGAAAGAGATGGAGGGAAAAAGAGTGCTGAGGGATTGTGAATTGATTGAATGCAATGTCTGGAAATGTAGAGGAGGAAGCTTCAATTGAGGTATTCAAAAGAATGCTAGATGATTATTTCAATTGGAACAAAGTGCAGAGTTATGGGAAAAAGGCAGAAGATTGGCACTCAGTGAAATGCTTACATGCCTGTGCAGACATGATGAGCAGACATTATGAGTTGAATGACCTCCTCTGGGATGACTGTAACAATTCTCAGATTCCATGAATTGAGCTGAGTCCCTGTGGAGATTTCAAACAACCTCAGTGAAGGGGGAGCTTTCTGGGCTTGGGGCTGTAATTTAGTTAATGCTTGAGGAGATGGCCTGTTCCTCACTCCATCAAACACAGGAAGGCTCTCCCAGAGATAACATCTCAAACACTTTCTCACCAAATTCAAGGTTTTACTGTGATGTCTGGGATATTTCTGGAGATGTTGGGTTTTCACAAGATTTTGGGTCAGACCTGATAAATGTTGACATTTACTCTTCTAGTAGAGATATTACTGTCTCAATATAAAACATTTTAACACTAATTACAAGAACATTCTGTGAGGAAGGAGTCGAAATTTTGGATGATTTTGTGTGAAACCCGCTCTAATGGTCACTGTGATGTGGAGGTTGTGGTCACAGCTTTTATAGAGACATAGTCAGTGTCCAACGTCTATTATTGTCCCATCAGATAAATTACATCTCCATGTTAGTGGCTCATTAAAAACCAACAATCTGTTGATGAGTTTTTATGGTCAATGTGTCCTTTTGACTTGCTCGGTAATTTCAGCAGCAAGGTGAGGTGTTTGAGCTGCAGGCTTAGAGCTGAATCCCTGGTTGGTTTGGTCTCCAGGTACAGAGCATGGCAGGAAGGAGTGCACCACAATCCTGAATTTTACATCTCGGACTTGTGGAGGGTACTCACACTCTTACTCAGTTCATGGGGAACTATTGTTGTGTATTATTCAGAGTCTCTATTTTCAATGTGGGTAAATATTTTTGTCTGCGAGAGGAGGGTGGGGCTGGGGAAGGTAGGTGGGATGGTGATAGGTCAGTGCAGGTATGCAGTGGTGGGGATTGGTCAGTGGGATGGGTGGGGTGGATAGGTGGGAGAGAAAATGGACAGGTTGTGTCAGGTCAAGGAGGTGGGGATGAGGGGGAGGGTTGGTCATTAGATGAGGCCGGGGGTGGGGAGATTTTGAAGCTGGTAAAGTCCACATTGAGGCCATTGGGTTGTAGGCTCCTGAGGCAGAATATCAGGTGCTGCTTCTCCAGTTTCCAGGTGGCGTCGCTGTGATACTGGAGGAGGCCCAGGATGGACATGTCACCCAGGGAGTGGGAGGGGGAGTTGAAATGGTTCGCGACTGGAAGGTGTTGTCATTTGTCGCAAACAGAGTGCAGGTGCTCTCTAAAGCGGTCTCTGAGC